CTTGAAGAGCGAGGAGGGAGAGGTGCGGGTGGTTGGCACTGGTGAGTGCCTCTCTCCTCCAGAAGTCGCCCAAGGTGCTCGTCCGCTCCGGTGAGGAGCGGCGGCGGGAGGCGGGGAAAGCTGCTTGCGGAGTTATCCCTTGCTGCATCTTGTCTCGCCCTCGAGCGAAACAAAAGTTTGTTTTCTCTCTTAACGCTCGTTCAGACGCGGCAGTTCGATCCCCTGTCCCGTCATGCGGGCATTGCCGTCTTCCAAGCAAAACCATCCGCGCTCTCAAAAAGTGACCTCTGATAGGTTGCATCCAGGTATATGGTCTGTGCATGTAGATATATGCATAACCTAAAAAACAGGTAATCATAATGCTCTTTGCTGGTAACGCTGAAAATAATTTCAGACCTCTGATGTGACTAGTCTAACACCAATGCATCTTCTGCTCTTGTGTGGATTGTCCTCTTTGATAGAGAAAGTTACAGATCTTTTTGCCTTTTTGATACTAATATTCTTAAAGGCATATTGATTAGCTGTCCTGGAGACAAACAGGGAAGGACAAGCAACAGAAACTGGTAGCTAATCCCATTAGGTTTGATCTGTTTTTCCAAACTTCATAAATAAAACTAGTTCCATGAGGGATATGCTTCTTAAGTTGTAAAAGCACTAGGGACAAAGATTCAATTAAAGATAGCACTTGCATTGTGATTTCTTTTTAAAAGAACTTCATCAAGTCTCAAGGCAGATACTATAAAAACAAAAAAGCATAGTGTGTGAGCATGGGTTAAATCTGTAAGTGTGTCTCGGATACTTCAAGACCAGCGTATTGGAATCCATGGTTTGTATGCCTGCGTTGTTATATTTAAATGTAGTAATTTTTTTAAGTGTGCACATGCATCTTTAAATACTTGCATGCTTTTTCAGCTTCTAAACTAGAAACTGAGTGAGATACAGTAGTTGTGCAGCATGGCAGGCTATGGGTTAACTCAAGGTTCGGTCTTATTGAAGCAGGTCAGCAGTGAGTTACTACTTTCAGCATGTGATGATGTAATCTGGATGAGAGTCCTAATTTGGAGAAATTGCACACCTTATCCCCAGTCAGCTTCAAGGTGACAGTGTATAGATGGGTGAAGCTAGATTGTGCATGTACATCTAGCCACTCAAAACAATGATGCGGACGTGTCCCTTTTGCATAACTGCTTTTATCTGATGAAGTCTAGCTTCTTGAATGCATTTACTGAATACTTTCTAAGTCCCTTCTAAACCTTAAACTTAACAGCATCAAGAAGCTTGTTCCCTGCAAGTTATTTGGACTGCAAGAGGTGAGATGCACATTCCTGAAAGATGCCTGAAGTAGTCATCTTCAAAATTTCTGTCTAAAGTGTATTTAAATAGGCACTTTGAAATCCTGATAAAATTCTGCTAATAACTGAGTCTTGGCTTGAGTGAACTTGTCATGGCTGAACATCTGCTTTAAGTAATGCACTAATTATTGGAAAGTTGTATGTGTTGTAACTTGGACTTTTAATTTGTCCCATTTTTCTTTAGACGTCTTTCACTCTTTTCTTTCATTAACTTCGGAGATTCCTGAAGATTTTTCTGAATCTATTCAGACACAGATGTGGAAGCTGGTGCAACAAATGAAACCATGAAAGCTGTTTTATATAAAAGTAGTTTGTATCTTCTGTTTTGTTCAGCTTTGCATTGTGAACATCTCTTAACAACATTAAGAGTAAAGAGCTTCACCATTTTTTCTATCCCTCTGTTTCTAGTATGTGCATGCTTTTAAAACTTATTTTACTGTTTCTTCATCTACCCTCTTGTTCCTATCTCCTCTTGCCACCTTTTTTCTCTTTGTAACTGAGGTGAAGGTCGTTTTCCAAGAGAATGGATGTTGACCTGTGACAGGTTGGTGAAAGGGAAACTGGAAAGCCTTTCTATGTAACCATATATTCTGTATAAAATCTGTTTTGTGACTGTTGATATTTAATGAAAAACTTCTTCAAACTCTGTACATTGGAATGAATAATAATTCTCCTCAACTGTGCAATAGCTGCATGACCTCATTCTCCATCCTTTAACTCCCATTTTCTCAACCTTTTTCTTTCCACATCTCTCCTAGTTCTGTCTTGTTTTGGCCAACTTCCTCCTCTCTTGAGAGGTGGGAAGTTATCCTGGGAAGTATTCTTGTATACCTGCTCTGTTTCTCTGGAGTTTTTTTGGTTGTTTGGTAGTAAGTGTGTAGTTTTTTGTTTTTTAATCAGGTCTTGGCCACTGTCAGAAACGGGATAGCAATCTGACATGGTTGAGCTACTCTTATAAGGTGAGCATGTGCACTTTATGCATCAACACTCATAAATCTAAAATACCATATAACAAGTACCAGTCAAGTTTATCAAAGTGAGTAAAGTACTCAAGTCTTTAAGGGGAAACTTGTCTTAAGACGGTGTCAGGTAGGGTATGTGTTTTCTTTGTTTGTTTTTTGTTTTGTTTATGTCCAGCAGCAGTACTGGGTTACTTGAGCACGTGGAGTGCTTCTCACCTGCCTGTCCTGCACATGTGGCAGAAATAAACTTGAGCTGTTCTTGCTCAGAAGCTCCTTACTACCTTATACTGACCCTTTTAATAATAATAAGAATATTATTATGACCAGTACCTATTTACAGCATGGCAGGTAAAGGTAAAGGCTGGTGACTAATGAGCAGCTGAGCTGCCTTGTTGGTTAGCAGCTTCCAAGAAGCTTATGATGAAAGGCCATATTGTCCCAAAATAAGTCACTACTCCCTTATTCTTGGGAACTAGGAATAGTACGTATGACTCTGAACTTACAGGTGTGGCTAGTTGGTAGCAGAAGGTGGCTGTTCTGCAGCCCTCATGTTTGGCAGGCTCTGGGGAGACAAGTGCCCTGGGAGCAGGGTGTGGTATGGAGACTCAAACACCCAGCTGATACACCTTCACCTGCCCACAGTTGCTAATGGATAACTGCTTCAAGTAGCATAATGAGGCAGCTGTTCTCTGCTTCTGGAAAACTCAAGAGATGAAGCTTCCAAGGTGACATTTCTAAGTGTGGGGTGTGGTGTTTTTTTTTTCTTTCCAAATATCAGTAGTCCTCCAGTCTGCTGTTCTTCAGCTGTGTGCTTATACATTGTCTCTTTGCAGAGCTGCTACTGGCTTTCAAGGTGCTATTATCATACTAGAGAAAAACATTCAAATAAGTGTAAATAATGTGTTTGTGTCTCTAAGAATAGAAAAATCACAATTCAGAACTGGCGCAGGAAAGACTGTATTGTGTTCACATCAGTGTTTTTTTCCCCCCTTCAAAATTATAATTTTCTAGCTTGCTTTAACAGTTTTGGCACTATCCATCTAGCACTAATTGCTTCCCCTTCAGTGCAAGCATGCTAGGGTTGAAACAACCTTTCTGTTCTTTAGCAGGAAGAATGACCGCCCCACCCACTATGATTTTAAACCCTTCTTTCTAAGCAGTAAATAGCTGACGTTATTGCTTCTTGTGAGAGAAAAGCAGCAATGCTGTATAGCATAGGTTTCTTAAGAGGCTGGCTGTGAGGAACACTTATTTAAGCTCAAACTTCTCATTTAACTGCCTTTGCTTCATTTCTGTACACTGTAAAACTCATCCTGCTATCTCTGCAAATAGCCAGACTTGGCAAATCTGCCTTATATATAGCTAGATTTGTCTTTTGTCTGAATCCTGTGTCCTGGACAACCGCAATCTACAAGAAACACAAATTTCAAGTTGAATTTCTCAACACTGAGGGTAGCTGCAGAACATGCATATGTTTTTGGAAGAACATGTGAAACTTTAAGTGCTCTGGTCACCACACTCTTTAGAGACACAAAAAAACTCTGGCAGGAATTAGTGTAAAAATACAGTTGCAAGGCACTCACCTTTAGCTACTGTATCAGTATCAAGTCTAATTCATTATTGTCTATTATGCTACATCTTTAAAGGGGAGGGGAATATAAGACTTTTGTAAAAGTCTTTACAAAGACTTTACTTTTGTGAAAGGAATTGGATTTTGCTGTTGCGTTTAAGGATCATGAAGACAGCTTTGTATACCCAAAGTGATTGCACAACTGAGCTAAAGCCTGAACGCAGTTCCAACTTGAACAGCACTTGTTCAACAAACAGACCACTATTTCTCCCAAATACAATATACACAATGTTCTTGAACTTCCCTTTGTGGATATAGGAAAACTGAATGCTTCATTGAATACCCTGTTAGAAAAAAGTTCTGCTAATCTGTATTTTTGCTCTGTCTGTCACCTCAGTGAACTTTACAAAATGAATCACTAGGTCACGGTCATGCTTGCAGCATGCTTTGTTAGAGAAAATAAGGATCTGACAGTGAGTGCTGTTGTTCTGTAAAAGCCTTCATGGGATAGTACTTGCTTTATAAAAGCAGCATCATCATTATGGTAGAAAATGGGGAAAGGAGTCTGAGGTGAAGAAAAGGTGAAGCTCTGTTCTCAAATGAGTAATGTTTGTGTAGTTTTTCTATGTGCATGAGATGTGTGTTGCGTGTATTCCTTTATGGTGGAAAACCAAATACAGAGATCACTTCAGACCACAGCTGTAAGGCTCTTTAGTGATAAAAGAAAGTTAAGCAAAATACATGTAGGTGCAAAGTCAACTATATCTATTTTGTAAAGCATGATCTCGTAATATCTGTTGGGCTGTGTTTCCTGTTGACGTCACTGTTTGCTTTGGCGTTACTGCCATGGAAACCTGTGGTAGTAGAAAGCTGAGCTTTTTCACTGTTCCTTATGTGTAATAAGATTAAGGAAATGCAAAGAGATATTCATGCATGAGTTTTGCCTGCAAATAAAGGTATGGAAAGTGTGGAGGTGTGAGAGGAACTTCAGTTGATTTGATGTGCAAACGGAGTAAACTTTCTCCCCACCCCCACCTCCTTCTCAAATTGAGAAGGAAATGAGAATGTAGTGCTGACGTGAATTGTTGTCTGGATCACCTATCTGAATGGCAGACAAAGAATAGCTAGGGTGTACGTTACTGGATATAAGCTTGGCATAGGCAGCAAGGCTGAATTAAGTCTTTTCACTTGGTTCTGTAGTGAAAGTATTCCCCAGCTGGTTGGCCGTAAAATATTATGAAATGGTGGGATAGCAAGCCAAGAAACTACTTGGATACAGGACTGTGTGACTTATAAGGTCAGATGAAACATTGATATGGCATAATTATAAGCCAAGTTTTTCCTGGTGAGTTGGAAGTCTTACTTTAAGCCACAGTATTCTGTCATTAAAGGCACAGAGCTCTGTTTGCACAAGTGTTACTAGAGAAATAAATTGTTTTTTCTTTACTGCTAGGTAAAATAATAAAAAAAGGTAAGTAGCAAAATTGCAAACAAAGCTCTATGGGTGAAAGTTGCTAAAAACACATTTTGCATACCTCAGATGGAGGTACTGAGCATGCTTTTCTAATTAATGGTTGCTCCTCAATAAATACAGACTTTGCAAGTAGCATGGTGGGAAGGAGGTTAAAACAGGTATTGTAAAGCTTATAGCACGTTTCATTTTAACAGATATGTATTTTGTGTATGTATACACATAAAAACTTTATACATATCTTGTATACATTTTGTATGCTTTGCAATAATATAAAGGCTTGCAGACTGAGGTTCTTGTATAGGTCCTGGGGACCTGTAGGAAGGATAAGGCTGTGAAGAGGGAGAGGCTTGTCATGCCTGCTACCTAGGTCTGGGGACTTGGTCCAGTGTCAAAGGAGTAAGGCTTCTGTCATGGCAATTCCAACTAATGTTGCACGTAACTACTTTGGGTGCTGCTGCATGTGTGTTTCTGGTCCTCTTAATTAAGTGTGCTCAGCTTTCCCACTGTGCCTCACTTTCGGTCTGAGACTGCCTAAGCTGTGACTTCTTTCAGAAGTACTGGCTGAAAAAAAGTATGTTTTCCTGCGAGACTAAGGATCCTAATGAGTGATTAGATTTGCAAGCATGCTTCTGAAAGTCTAGTATTAGAAGATGCAGCTGGGTAAGAGCACTGATCTCAAAACCAAATAGATGCATATTCTGACAATTCTGAAGTTATTGCCCCTTTTTCTAAGCAAACTGACAGATGCATCTCAAGCCTTTTTAAAATGGGTAGCTGAGGGAAGTTGCTTCATTTGTCAGGCTTCAAAGGGCTTAATAGCTGTTTTGTAGGAGAGATGGCTGGCCTATGGAGTTTGTGTGGGTTATCAAATGACAAGCCATTGCCTGGTGGTATGGGCTAGTCTGGAAGGAAGGTGAAATCTCCAGGTTGCTTTGGCATTTTAGTAAACTTTGTGCAGCCTCACTCTAAGTTGCAGTTATCTGTTATCTGTGAAGCACTCCTGGCAATTTGTCTCCTTTCAACTCTTCAGTGTATGTGATGCTTACAACACTTCACCATGTGAAGGCCTTGCAAGGCAGCCTTAAGCTTCTGAATGACTGATTCTTCCCTGTGCTATAGGTTTTCTTGAGCCACTAAAACCAGTAGGGCAGGATATAATGGGCAATGGTGAATTGCATCCCTGTAGCAGATTAGTTTTCCTAGAAACTCATACTCTCAAAATATACATCTTGAAAGGACTGGAGGACTGAGTAGTAAAGACAGTAAATCTCAATTTGCCTCTGCAGCACTGAATGATGTATGGTTCTGTATTGGTGGTATAGACAGTGTTTATAATACAAGTCAACTGCATTCAAGCTTAGCATAATAGTGAGCTTTCTGAATAAACACCACTTTTGTTTTCTAACTAGCGTGGAAATCTTTAGTGCTGTTAGTCTCTTGATAGTAGACTGTGCAGCAGTGTCTTAAATATTTATATTCTGGGCTGTTTGATATTTAGCTAAAGACATCATAATAAAATAAATTTTTAGCACTTGCGTACTATGGTAGTCTACAGCTCCCTGATTTATACTTATGCTTGTCCTGCTCAGAACATCTTTCAAATATTTTTCTTGGATGCAAGTACTTTTTGGCATCCTTGTTTATGTGCAAATGGAGTTCTTAATCCCAGTAAATTTTTCCTCTAGATCCAAGTGCATGTTTAAAAAAGCTGGAACAGACTTGCTATCAGTTTTAATAGACAGATGTTAAATCATGGTGACAAATATAGAACGGTCCATGGGATCCTGCTCTTCACTATGGGTGAAATTACTGCTTTTTTTCCTCGTATGGTATCTGTAGAAGTCTTATGAGAAGGAGCATTGTCCAGATATAACCATTTTTTCTTCAGTCCGACATCATAAGAAATAGATTTTTAAAAGCAGAAGAGCTGTGTTAAATCCTGTGACCTAATAA